AAGCCATGGTGGCAGGGCCGAGGTAGAGCGGTTAGAGAGCAAGAGGGGAAGGCAATTGTGGGTGATCAGGCCGGCAGGGGGGGGGGAGGCGGCAATTAGGGGTGAGCAGACCAGCAGGGGGGGCCAGTTGGGGGCAAGCAGGCCATCAGTGGGGGTCAGTTGGGGTGATCAGGACTGTGGGGGGGCATTTTGGAGTGAGCAGGCCAGCAGGGGGGCAGTTGGGGTGAGCAGACTGGCAGGGGAGGCAGTTGGGGGCGAGCACACTGGCATGGGGGGCAGTTGGGGGTGATCAGGCTGGCAGGGGGGCATTTGGGGGCAAGCAGGCTGGCGGCGGGGGACAGTTGGGGGCGAGCAGGCCAGCAGGCAGAGTGGTTAGGGGCAATCAGGCAGGCAGGCAGGTGAGCGGTTAAGAGCCAGCAGTCCCGGATTGTGAGAGGGATGTCTGACTGCCAGTTTAGGCCCAATCCTTGTAAACTGGCAGTAGGACATCCTTCCAGGGGTCCCAGATTGGAGAGGGTGCAGGCCAGGCTGAGGGACACCCCCCCTGCACGAATTTTATGCACTGGGCCACTATTTATTTTACTAAAAATGGAACAGAAACCCATTGTTCGGAATTTTTACTGTGAGAAACATATCAGGACAAGAAGGACTGTAAATGAGTCAATTAAGTCATACAGGACTAAACTCTAAAAATAACCAAAATGTTATTAACATTCACTAGAGGCCTGGTGCATGAATTTCATGCACAGGTAGGGTCCCTAGGTCTGGCCAGCGATCAGGGCGGATCGGGGCCTTCCTTCATTCCGCGCCGCCCCCTGGTGGTCAGCACACATCATAGTGAGCAGTCAAACTCCCGGTTGGTCGAACTCCTGAGGGGACAATTTGCATATTAGCCTTTTATTATATAGGATTAGCTCCTCTATTAAAGTACAAGTAAAAATGTCAAAAACATTTCATATATCTGTCTCCTCTAGCAGGAATTCTCTGCATGGCTACACTTACTGCT